TATATTTGACTAGTAAGATTTTATATTTCTTTGTATCAATTTTTTGATGTATTTTTTCAAGGAATTGTTCCATTTCATTTAAATTTTCAAATTGATTAATACAAAATTGCTTATAATATATTATAGTTACCCTTTTAAAGAATAAAATAACTATAATGTTTCCTTTTTCATTCCTGGTGTTTTTAATTCACAACCATCTTGTGAATTACAAAGAGTTTTTCATTTTTATTAAACTTTAATTTTTTTTTTATTAGTTGGAGGCTAATTACTTTACAATATTTTAGTGGTTTTTGTCATACATTGACATGAATCAGCCATGGATATACATGTATTCCCCATCCCGATCCCCCGTCCCACCTCCCTCTCCACCTGATCCCTCTGGGTCTTTCCAGTGCACCAGGTCTGAGCACTTGTCTCATGCATCCAGCCTGGGCTGGTGATCCGTTTCACCCTAGATAATATACATGTTTCGATGCTGTTCTCTTGAAACAGCCCACTCTTGCCTTCTCCCACAGAGTCCAAAAGTCTGTTCTATACATCTGTGTCTCTTTTTCTGTTTTGCATATAGGGTTATCGTTACCATCAAAGAAGTAAATTTTGACTATGTTGATTGTCTCTATTGCATGGGTATTTTAAGTTCTATTCTTTGAGTTTAACTTATTATTTTTCTAATACATTTATATGGATAATTACATCATTGATTTTCAGCCTCTCTTATTTCTCACACATGCATTTGGAAACAAATTTTGAATTGTGGTTTTAGAGGCATCACAGGTGAATGATAAGATCATTTAATGAAATATAAGGTCTAATTCCCACTGTAATTTCTTCTTTGATCCACAGTGTGCAGAAACGAATTAAAGAAGGCTGACTGCTAGCCTTTGAAAGGCCTACAACCAAAATTGGCCCTTGGCTGGCATCTAGGAACTTAGATCTGGGGAGTTTCCACCATTCTCAGAACTGATAAGAATGGCTTACTCAGTCTAATCTATACAAACAATATGGTTTATGCTGATGAACTGCTGTCCTCCTGGGAGTCTGGGATTTGGGGACATACAGGGAGAAGCTGGTCTGACCAGCCCCCTGTTAAAAACCCCAGGCACTGAGTCTCTATGAGGGTCACTGGTTGGCAGTAGTTTCACACATGTGGCCACACCTATTGTTGGGGTAATTAAGTGCATCATGTGTGACTCCATTGAGAGAGAGTTCTGGCAGCACCTGATTTCCCCCAGATTTTGCCCCAAATACCTTTCCCTTTGCTGATTTTGTTCTGTATGTAATAAATCATAGCTCTGAGTATGACTATGTGCTGAGTTCTGTGAGTCCTCATAGTAAATCATTGAATTTGAAATGGCCCTGGGGACTGTCAACACATATGAGTTCAAACATTAGATTTCTCCCTTTTAAGTGCATCTGTTTTGTTTCATTGCACTTAATTGTCAGAGAATGTGAGATGAACAATTCTAATTTTCTGAAATTTGTTTAAACTGGCTGTATGAAAAGTCTATATGAATAAGTTTTCCATATGTAGTTGTAAGGTATATTTATTTTGAAGTAGTGGGCAGTGTTTATATAAATCTACTAAGTCAAGTTTGTTAATTTTAGTTTTTAAATTTGCTGATTTTTTTTTGCATGTTCTACCAGTTAAAGAAATGCATTAAAATAACCTTACCATAATTGTAAATTTATGTATTTTTCTTGCTATAAAAATTATATCCATTTTGCTTTGCATATTTTAAAGCTATGTTAGCTATATTACTTGCATTAAATACAGAACTGATAACATCTTCCTCATAGACTGACCATTTTACTATAATGAAACTTCTTATCACTAATAATATTTCTTGCTTTAAAATCAAAACATTTTCTTCTCACGTTAGTGTATGTATATGTTGCAAAGTGAAAGAGGAGAGTTAAAAAGTTGGCTTAAAGCTCAACATTCAGAAAACTAAGATCATGGCATCTGGTCCCATCACTTCATAGCAAATAGATGGGGAAACAGCTGAAACAGTGGCTGACTTTATTTTGGGGGCTCCAAAATCACTGAAGATGGTGACTGCAGCCATGAAATTAAAAGATGCCTACTCCTTGGAAGGAACGTTATGACCAACCTAGACAGCATACTAAAAAGCAGAGACATTACTTTGCCAACAAAGATCTGTCTCGTCAAGTCTATGGTTTTTCCAGTAGTCATATATGGATGTGAGAGTTGGACTATAAAGAAAGCTGAGCACAGAAGAATTNCCCTTGGAATGCAAGGAGATTCAACCAGTCCATCCTAAAGGAGATCAGTCCTGAGTATTCATTGGAAGGACTGATGGTGAAGCTGAAACTCCAATACTTTGGCCACCTGATGCAAAGAGCTGACTCATTTAAAAAGACCCTGATGCTGGGAAAGGTTGAAGGCAGGAGGAGAAGGGGACGACAAAGGATGAGATGGTTGGATGGCATCGCCGACTCGATGGACATGGGTTTGGGTAAACTCCGGGAGTTGGTGATGAACAGGGAGGCCTGGCATGCTTCAGTCCATGGGGTCGCAAAGAGTCATACATGACTGAGCGACTGGACTGAACTAAACTGATGTTGCATGTGTGTTTTTTCTTTAGGTTTGCAAGGTACATATCTTTTCTATTCAGTGATATTGTATCTTTCTGTGCCTTTAATTTAGGTATGACTTTGTGGTAGCTTCCCTGTGGCTCAGACAGTAAAGAATCTGCCTGCAACGCAGGAGACCTGGGTTTGATACCTGGGTTGGGAAGATCCCCTGGAGAAGGGAATGGCAACCCACTCCAATATTCTTGCCTAGAGAATCCCATGAACCAAGGAGCCTGGTGGGTTACAGGCCATGGGGTTGCAAAGAATTGGATACAACTGAGCGACTAAGCACAGCACATCTTCCAATAAGTTGGACTGTAAAGAAGGCTGAACATTTAGGAATTGATGCTTTCAAATTGTGGTGCTGGAGAAGCCTCTTGAGAGTCCCTTGTACTGCAAAGATATTACATCAGTCAATTCTAAAGGTAATTAACACTGAATATTCATTGGACAGACTGCTCCTAAAGTTGAAGCTCCAATACTTTGGCCACTTGATGCAAAGAGTTGACTCATTGGAAAAGACCATGTTGCTGGGAAAGATTGAAGGAAGGAGGAAAAGTGGGGTGACAGAGGATGAGATAGTTGGATAGCATTACTGACTCAATGGAAATGTTTGAGCACACTCTGGGAGATAGTAAAGGACAGGGAAGCCCGGCATGCTGTAGTCCATGAGGTCTCAAAGAGTCAGACACGGCTTAGTGACTGAACAACAACAAATCTTCTGATAAACTGTTTTTACAAAAACAAGCAACCAACCCATTCATAGACAATTTTTCCAACTCTTTCTAATATTTCCAACTCTAGAATCAATTAATTTTTTCTTTATCAGAGTCCCAATCAGTTCCTCCATTACTTCAAGCAATTTTTCTTTTTGTTTTTTCTGTCTCAATATGTTTTACTGATTTATTTTCTAATTCACTGATCTCTTCCATGTGTCTAATCTGTAATTAAACCATCCATTGTGTCCTTAATTCCAACTACTATATTTTTTACTAAAACATTTTTTCCATTTGATGTCTATATAGATTCCAGTTCTCTGGAAGTTATCTATTCTCTCATCTCTTTCCTTTGACATATTAATCACACCTGTGTTAAGTATGACTGAGTGACTTAACAACAACATGTTAAAGTCTATAGCTATTAACACCAATATTTAAATGTCCCATAGTTCTATTTTATTATCTTTTTCTCTGGGTTTTCAGTCATTTGTTAATGTCTTCTAGTCTGCTTAGTAATGTAATAATTGTATATGAAAAGTTATAGAGATAATTTGAATCTCTAGCCAGTGCTATCTTTTTCCAGATAGAATTAACTTTTGCTTTCTTGTAAACTTTCAGAATAGGGTATGTCATCTAAAATCAGGCTGGGATACAACTGGTTTGAAGGTGTATCAATCTTTCCTGTATACTGGTTAGTTTCTTATTTACCCTTAATCCTAGAGCACAGATCCTATGGAGACCTCACTGGAATTCTAGAAGCCCCTTTCCATTATAGGCTTTGATTCCAAGTTCAGTGTCCCCACCTTTGTGAGGCTGTTGGGAACTCAGTTTATCTCCTAACCTCTTAGGCAAATCTTTCTGGTTTGATCAGCAGCCTTTAGCTCTGCACTCCGTATGGACTGGTAATTGCCCCAAGGGGAAATGCAGCGCATGATTGGGTTTACTTCACTTGTTGTTCCTTTTTCCAAGATTGTTTCTCAAGTCTTGACTGTGGTCATAGGGTTGTTGTACAGTCTTAAGTGAGACCATTTAAAGTTTAGCTCAGGATCCCAGCCCTTACCTTCCAAAGAGTCTCAGCTTTTGTTAGACTTTTGTTGAAAGACCTCAACTGGTCACTGGATTACTTCTTTCCTGAACTTGTAGTAATATATTTATTTCAGCTTTAATTCACATGTCTGTCTAGGCTAAGCATTCCATTTCTCAGAGCCTAAAACTTTAAGATGGCAGAGTACTGCCTTCTGGGTCTCGACTTACCTTGATAACATCAAACAGACATCCTTGTTGATTAGAATTAAGTACAAAATAGTAGTTATGATTGTTTCTTCTTTTTTAGGAAGGAGGAAAGTGTCAGTAAATTAAGTCGAGCTTTTATCAGATGTGCTGCTTTTAGCCAAAAGAGATTTTCAGCAGATGTACAGCTTGTTGAATTACACACAATACTAACTAAATCTTACCTCTCTGATAGTTTTGTGATTTGTATTAGATCACAAAATCTCAGTCTGTGAAACAAATATAAGGGGAAAATGCCAACATGGAAAATCAAATCAGAAAAAAAGAATAAAAGGAAAACCAATTTTACATACAAATGAGTAAATGGAGGGAAAACATTAACATATGTGAGTTCTAATTAGTTGTTGATTTCTTTCTAAATTGCAAATATATGACCATTTATTTATATATGAAACTGAAAATGCTTAATATAAAACATATTTAAAGAATACAGAACGGGATTTCAAGTAGAGGTTGGCTTTGACTCCGGCACCAAAGTACCAAATCTGGAGGGAAATAAGGAGAAAGGCTTGTAAACTCAGCCAGCCAACTTATTCCAAAAGGTGGACCAAAGGCTGGTACATAACTGCTTTCTCCAGACCTGTCTGTATCTGCAGCAGACAACTCCAAGGAACAAAGCGGTCAAACTACAGTGGAGCTGTTGCATCAGGAGTTGGTGAGTTACCTTTACGACACATTCAGATGGAACATGGATGGTAATGGTGTTGGCAGGTAGTGTAATATTTTCAAGTGGGCATTTTAATTTTAGCTTGATCTCCAAGGGCCAGATCTCCCTCTACAGTAGCTGCAAGCTGAGCTGCTTTCCATTCACTTCAGGAAATATAGAGTTGAATAAGCCATCCTGGGGTTGGCCAGATCCTCCTCTCTTGCTCCCTACAGATAGACGCTCTTTTTTTCTCTCCTAAGCAGACCAACAGCCAGGTGGGAATTCAATATCAAAGGTGATTGCATTTTCTGATTTAATCAACATATTTTACATAAGATTCTGTGTGGCATTGACAGTTGTCTGCTCCCTCAAACGTCTGTGTCCCCTTCTACAATGCAGCTGTACTTGTGGAGAACATGCCCCATCAGTAATCTCATTTCCCAGCACCACCACTTCCTGCTAAGTGGTGCCATGGGGCTAATTCACCAATGAAATATAAGCAAGTGGTGAGTGTCACTTCTAACCTGGATATGCATATTCTAGTCTCTTTTCCCATCTGTTAGCTGAATTTTGTTGCTGCAAAAGACCAAAGGTGTACTTGTTGAAGGCAGTAGACTCTTCTCAAGCTGGGTTTCTGATAGGTACCAAAAAAGAGTATGTACATTCTCCACCAAGCAGGAATACATACACTAGACTTTCCAAGAGCAAGAAAAATATGTCTATTGTGTTAAATTGCTGAGAATTTTGTTTTATGAATATGTTAGTTCCAATAGCCAGCATTATCCTCACCAATGGTGCCCTTATGGACACCTACACACACACACACACAGATAAACACTCTTAGGCAACTTACTTCATATTCTCATGGACTAGCTGTCTCAATCAGCATTCAGATGGAGATGCACAAACTTCCATAGGATGTGTCTACACATGAAACTAACAAGTGTTAGTTGCTCAGTCGTGTCAGATTCTTTGCAACCCCATGGACCACAGCCTGCCAGGCTCCTCTGTCCATGGAATTCTCCAGGCAAGAATACTGGCTGCTGCTGTTGCTAAGTCCCTTCAGTCGTATCCGACTCTGTGCAACCCCATAGATGGCAGCCCAACAGGCTCCCCCATCCCTGGGATTCTCCAGGCAACACTGGAGTAGGTTGCCATCTCCTTCTCCAATGCATGAAAGTGAAAAGTGAAAGTGAAGTTGCTCAGTCAGGTCTGACTCTTCGTGACCCCATGGACTGCAGCCTATCAGGCTCCTCATCCGTGGGATTTTCCAGGCAAGAGTACTGGAGTGCGTTACCATTGCCTTCCCCAGGGGATCTTCCAAACCCAGGGATCGAACCCAGGTTTCCCGCATTGCAGGCAGATTCTTTACTATCTGAGCCACCAGGGAAAGCCCATGTATATATATAAATACTGACAAATACAATAATTATATTGTGTGTGTGTGTGTGTGTGTGTGTATAAAGATATCTGTTACAAAGATTTGACCTCACACGAGTTGTGGGAGTTAAGCCATCTCAGTGAGGCTGTTGTCTCTGCATCTGATCCAGGAGTCTGAGGTCCACAGACAGGCTGTCTGAAGGCAAGATGTTGGAGTGTAAGGGATGGCTAGGATAATTTGGAATCCACAAGGACAGACTGGAATCAGTGTCAGTTCATCATTTCCCAATGCTTCCAGAACTAAATATACGAGTATTCCACAGGACACACAGTCACCCTTCATCATGGTGCTAAACACAATGTGACATACAAGTGGCAGAAACTCAAGGAGGATTTGAGGGCAGGTGAAGTTGTTTCAAGCCTGGCTACTTCTCAACACCAAAGAAGTGAGAGGAGATAAGCAAAAATGAGCTACAAAAATATCTGACAACCTTGCTTCAACCTGAGGCATTAAAAGACAAGATGGGTGCTGTTTCTCTTCCACTCTCCAAATTTCATGCAAAGAATGTCTTTTGTGGGCCATTCTAAAAGAAAACATTTAGAAAAAGAATATCCTGTAAACACAGTTGAGCTTAGCCAAGTTGACATATTACACAGCCCCCATCCAGTCTGCTGATTAAATTACCAGCCAATTGTTCCTTGAAAAATTACTACTTACTTATTCAACAACTGTGCATTGAATGCCATCTATTTTTTGGTATCTGGGAAGCACTGAAGATAAAGATATACATAAGATGTGTTCCCAAACTTTTGCATCCCATTACCCAGTGGAAGAAACAAAACCATAAACAAAATCATGATTCTGTCATTGCAATGGTACCACTACTCACAGGGCACTGTATAAACACAGAGAAGGAGCAATGTAGGGTACTCATGTTTACAAGCATACTAGACCGCCTTGCCCACACCAACATTTGGTATTAGGGTGGTAGGATGCCCCAATACCAAGAACTTCCAATATGATTTTTGCCATCAGCAACATCCCCTACTGTCTTCCAAAGATGTTAAAATAAGAGTCATATAAGTGTAGAAAGAAACAGGGAACTTCATCTTAACTTTAGAAATCAGAGATGAGGCTAAAAGCAATCACTAAAAGAAAATGACATCAACTGCTTTACTTTAAATTGAAAACGGTATAGAGGAGAGGCTAACAAAAAGTGAACAAAGATCTATAGACTTTGTATAGAGTCATTTTTCACATATATCCACTTCTCCAGAAGTATGACTTAGTAATATAACAAGCAGAGAACTGACAAGAAACAGGAATTCATTTTTCCTTCCAACACACTGAGCAGTAAATTCTGTCAGTCCATCATCAAGGGATGGAACATACAAAGTGCTATTCATACTGCTGAAGGCATTTCACCAGAATTCTCTAATTAGCCAACAAACATTAACAAAATTAAAAAGCAATTACTATAGCCTCCACTTCCCAAGTGGGAAAACTGAGGGCAAAGACAGACTTATTCAAGGTTAGGAAAGATTTATGACAAAGTGAGGAGCCCTGTATCTCTGACTCTATTTTGGGGTCCACACTGCTGGCCTCAATCACCCTGCAATAAATGAAATGAATTATGGGTTCAGGATATTCCACCTGCCACAATTAAATTGACTTGCTGTTTACTTGCTATTTCTTCTCCTCCTCCTCTTCCCTGAGTACTGGGGGTATGACTAGCTGTGCCTATTTCAAGTGGTTTAAATAGTCTGAAATATTATTTCCTGAGGAATATGACCCAAGTAAGGGAGATGTAAATTTGTGGGTCCCAGAGTAAGTTAACCCTAAAGTGACCAGACTCCTGGAATTTGGAACTTCAGTTTGCTGCAGTGTCGAAGGGATTTTGACTCTGACACTAGATGTCATCTTTTAAAAATCAAAAGCCCTGAGTGTAAATGCTGAATTTTTTTTAGCTAAGTGTTTAATAGTGTGCACATACCTAGCAAGATATCATTTATCATCTAAACTGGGGTATTTTTGAAAATGAACAGAGGCTGATTAGTTATTATGCCCAGAAAGTAAATAGAAACAGGGTTTTCCGGATAAGCTGAGACAAACCTGATCAACCTAAATTGCAGCACGCTTTTTTTGTGAATGGATGGGTAGAGACATTGGCACCTTTGGTGAATATCCATATCATATATAACTAGTTTGTCTAGGTAACCTGCTTACCTTATTGTCCCTCACTTTGAGGATCTAAATTTAGATAGATTATTAGTTTCCTAGGGTTACTTTAATAAAGCACCACAAATTGAGTGGTTATAAAAAACAGATATGTATCACCTCCGAGTTCTGAAATCAAGGCATAGGCAAGGAACATTCTTTCTCTGAAGGGTCTATGGGAGGATCTGGTCCATGCTTTCCTCTTAGCTTCTAGTGTTGCTAGCAACCTCAGACATTCCTTGGCTTGTAGCATCACTTCAGTGCTCTCTCCATCATCACCTGGCATGCTCCATGTGTGTCTGAGCCTGAGTCTCTTTTCCTTTTTTCATGAACAGCTAAATATACCCACTGATGCAGTCGATAAATTATTCATGCTATTTCTGCCTAAAAGCAACACTACCATTTCATGCTTATCAGATCCACATCTTCGTTACTATATTCTTATGTTTCTTACAGACAAACACCTGGGAGAAATCACTATCATGTCTTCCTGAGGTATCGTTAGCAGCCTCATGCCATCATTTCACAGGTTACATTACCCAGAAATAAATTAATTTTTATCTGGAGTGATATAAAATCAGAAATGGATTGTTATCTAGAAAAGCAAAAATAAACAAGGAAGAAAATATTCATGCCTTCAGGTATTGGTTTATGTTTATAGACTATTTCACATTTTATTGTTCAAGTTTATTCCACCTAAAAATGCTTTGGGCTTTTATTCCTATAATTTATGGAATAATGCATTTTGAGACTCTTAGATTATTCACTAACAGTGACATAGAGATATGTCTCAAATGCAATTAAATGCAATCAAAATATCCAAGTATGAAATCATAGAAGATTTATTATACTTTATTGGGAGATGACAGTTACTGTTATAAGCTTCATGGCATATCACAACTATTCCATAAACTTTTTTCAGACCTACTTAAAATGGATCCTCTTCCTTTTGTCCAGAAAATTTGCATCCATTTCTAAAGGACTGGTTTACTTAATGCAAATGGATACTGCATACTGTATGATAAAGTCTCAATTACACATGCCTTCGATAGTAAGAGTTGCTTTGTGTTCTGTGTGTTGGGGAGATTATATTTTATCTTGTATTTTCATGTGTCTCTGTGTAGACATCCAAGAGATAGATTAAGAATGTTCTCAAAAGGAGTAGAGGGGAATATGTTCATTAATTTGAGTTTGAAAAGGGGAGAATAAAGGGGAATTTGATCAATAATAGAGACAATGATGGATTTCTGGTACTGCCATGACAGGTAAAGATGATGACATTGAATGAAATACCCCCAGACTGCAACGGACTTCAGTTTTTAAACACCATTAGGTGTCATACACTGTTCTTAACTCATATTATTAATGCAACATCTTTCCTCCTAAATATATTGGGCATTATGGTAAAGCATATCTTTTACATTTATAGCCATTTTGACTCACTTTCTGCTCACAGTCTTTTTGTTTTAGTATAGATTAATGTGTGAAGAACTCATTCATTGCTCAGAGTGTCTAGTTAATGGATCAGTAGTATCGATGCTTTTCTTTTCCATTGATTTATAGTCATTTATTTATTCTCTCCAAAGTCGCTTTGACTGCTAGGAATTTTTATGCCAAATAAGATCACTCAGGAGCACTCTTTGAGAACACCTGTGTCGTTCATTCATTTGTCAGTGTAGCAAGTCAGAAATGAACTCAGGAATTGTTCCAAATGCAATCACTGAAAAGCAAACTTTTACGCATTCTCCCAATTCTCTTTAAAATTGATATTTTATCATGCCCTCTACTAAAGACATGATCCTTTGACCTATTATTGTATTGACATCTACTGATAGAGAGGATGAGGGAAGGTATAGGAGATCTGCATCAGTTACAAAGTCATGGGTCTTGTTAAAGTGGTGTGATGAACTGAATGTGTCCCCCCAAATTCATACACTGAAGTACTATCCCCAATGTATTTTTCCACCCTCCTCAACCTTATGGAAGAGATTTCATTTGTACATGCTTTGCAATGCTATGCAGATAACCTTAAGCATTTGTCATCTCTTTATTTTTGGTTAAAGTTCTCCTTGCATGAACCAGAAGATGACTGCTCTCTTAGTTGGTAACCTAAAAGAAGCCAGATCTCTGTGAAATTTGGCTAGAATACCTATTACGTGAGCAGTAGGAATAGTAATCATAAAATAGCAGTCGACATTAACTTTTCCAGGCATTATTCTAAATACATTACATGTATTTTCTTACCTGACCCTTATAACCCCTTAAGACAGGTATTATAACTGTCCTATTTTAGAGATGAGTGAACTGAGTCATAAGAAGTTAAAACCCTAATAAGTAACAAAACCAGAATTTGAATGCAGGCAGTCTGATCCTAGAACATATTGTTTTAAAGCTTTTCCGAACTGAGGTAATATTAACAGAAAGGCAACAGGGAGAGAGGCAGTGAATACAGTGGTGCTAGCCCACCTAGGGATAAGGTTTCCAAGTGTAATGGACCACTAACAGTCCTTGAAGCCGGTGCCTACAGCTGACGCACTTGTCCAACGTGTTTCCAACCACCGCAAGTGTCACAAGTCTTCATTCTGCAGCCATTAACATGCCTACCCTGCTTTAAGTCAAAAGTACACAAAGCAAGAACAGGTGCCAAGGATGGGAAATCTGGGGAGTTGCAAAAATACAGATAAAAAGCTAAGAGAGGCGATAAAAAGGACTAATGTTGGTCCCAATGCAAATTAAGGCTAGAAAATGCTTCTAGCAGTATAAGAAAGATGTGGACTTTCTTCAGTATAAAACCCATAGAGCAGTGGCTCCATCCAGGGTGGAGTTTACATTTCCCAAGTGGGTGGAGCTTCCTTCATCTCTTAGGACTTTACATGATGGCCACTGGGAATTTAAAGAAGCCAATATTATAGCCAAGAAACAATTTGATCCAACATTAGCCCTTGATAGGGATGTCATCATTTGGAAGTCGCTAAGAAGCAGCATAGCCCAAATTGCTTGCCTCCCACTCAGTGGAATACCCCACACAACTCCCCATCAGCAAAAAGCAGGAGAGTAAGAAACTACACCGGGAAACACAAAGTTGTGACTTTCACAGAGGAAAGAGGAAACAGAAAAAAGCATTTAAGGGAAAAATGAGTCTTCTCTTGAATGTTGCAAGAGTAAGTGGAAAGGCAGACAACAATGAGGACCACGTGGATGTCACTTGCCACATTTAGTGTACTAAGCACTACAATAGACACCGATATGCTGTTGTTAGGAATTATTATCTCCATTTTTAAGATAAGAAAAGTTTGGAAACATAAAGTGATTTGCCTTAAATTCCACAGCCATTCATTCAGTGCCAAGATTTAAGCCCATTTTTCTGTTACAACCAGAATTGTACTCTCCACTGCTAAACTCCACTCCCTTTGAGTAGAAAATAAGGCTCGAATTCCACGTTTCAAATGCTTGTAGACAGAATTTGTTCATGATGCTGCATTCCCTGCCTGACTAGAATGATTTCAGAATGCACTAAGGAGCTATCACAGAGAACCACAGGGGCTGTGATTTTTCTGTCAATGGCCCAGAATCTAGTGGTCTCCTGTCCCCCCACTCATGAGGCTCCATAGAGATCTGGTTATGTGATATATATGTTACCCTCCTGGCCAAAGTGATTTGGACAACTTTTATGCAAATTTAGCCTGAGTATGAACCCTGGTTATTTTTCGACATGGCATGCCTCTTGTTCATTAGATCATAACCCTCATTATGCAGCAAGATCACTTGAAAAATACCGATGCATACTCTTGATTGGAGGTGGAGCCCGGGAATCCATGTTTTTACTTAAAGGACTCCAGCTGATTCTAATGTGCAGTCAGGGTTGCAGAACCGCTGCTCTGCCTGATAGACTCTCTGACCTAAATTTCTCTTCTATGTTCTGACTTTATTTTAGTTCATGTGACTCTCTTACTGATTTTAATTTTTGTCTCTAAAGGTCTCTGTCCTTCTCTTCCTAGGTGGTAACCTGGCTTCAGTTGTGACTACTCTCTGGGTCCCATTTTGGTTTCCTTGACCCCAGACCACAGATTTTAATTAATTTGCTCTAGCATTTCAGCAGCAAAAGCTGAGTTCCTTCCTCTGATTCTCAGTAGAATGCCAGCTCATCTCACTGACAACCAAGAAGTAGGGAAAAATTCTGGGACTGACAAGTGGACCCAGAGAGACGACAATTGACACAGCAAAGGATAATTGCCAAGCTCCATGTTCAGGAAGCCTTCGTTTACTAGTTCCATGTAATTCCACCTCCAGGTTGGCTAGATTGTCCTTGGTCTCCAGCAGCGTCTAGTTAAATTCCTCTCCTAAGCAGCCTCTTGAGACTCAGAGCTGGTGGCTCTATCCTCTGAATGTCACTGCTCAGAAATCCTGACAACCCTCCTGGAGAGGCAAATCCTGAGCTCTACCTAATCAAGGTGAGTCTCCACTTTGATTCTATATATCTCCCAGTCAGCCTGCTTCATGCCACAGAGCATGAGCAAGTAGAAAATGGAGCATGCAAGCATTCTCCTCATTATAGCCCTGAGGCAACTGAGCAGAGAATGTCACCACCCCTGGATCCTTTTGTTGATAATGTGAAAAGTAGTGATCCTTGAACAGAGGGTACAAGAATTTTTTCATAATTGCCATCCACACATATTTTAAAAATAATTTGATAGGTTATATAAACTCACACTGTGCTGTGCTTAGTCACTGAGTCCTGTTCCACTCTTTTCAACCCTATGGACTATAGCCCACCAGGCTCCTCTGTTCATGGGGATTTTCCAGGCAAGTGTGATTGGCAGGTGAAGACCCCACAGAACAACTCTGTAAGGCAATTATTCACTTGAAAACTCATCAAGGCCAATATCTCAGTTGAACTTCTTCCTCTGCCAAACACTGTTCCCTGATTCCTTTTATAGGTGTTGAACCCCAATAAATATATTTGGGCCAAATTCCATCTCAGCATTTGTGGCAAACACCTAACATTTTTCATGCACTTATGTGCCAGGAAATCCTCTTAAGGTTTATACTCATTATCTTGTTTTCTTCTGCCAACACTCTTACAAATTAGGTACTATTATTATCCCATTTTTCAGGTGAAGAAACAAACATATAAGGTACAGATTGAGAATTTTGGCCTGAACTGCCCAACTCCAAACCTGGGTATTCAAGTCACATTTTATTATCTATATTTGGGGCATATTTGGTGTTTTCTGGTATCTTGGTATACAAGGTATAGCTGGAAGACTAAGAATATGAAAGGTATTGATGAGAAAGAAGGTTTGACATTCAAGAAAGAAATTAATATAGGGGATAAAAATTAAATCAGCAAAAGGATCAGTATGAAAAGGTGATATACTGGAGATCTTTAGGGGGCGATCAGAGTTCTCTGATCTCAGAAAACTTAGGTCCTTCTCCAGTATTTCTTAGAAGACAAATAAGAGGACTGGTTCAACTCTGGAAATTTTTTTCTTTCTAGCTGAGAAGACAGAACCTGATGAAAAAAGAGACATTTGACTTGTTTCTTCCTTCCAGTCTCGGTGGCAGGCACTCGATCAATTGTTCTCAAGCTTTGGTCCTTATGGGAATCAGCTGAGGAACTTGGTGACCCACATAAAGGCCTATGCTATATTCAAGGAGCTTGGGTCTCTCTGCTTTCTCATCCCTCTAGATGATTCCAATGCACAACAAAGTTTGAGAACTCCAGCTAGAGAACTAGTTTACCCAGTATCTGAAGGAAATTCAGAGACACTGGTCCCCAGATGAGATGCTGAACCAATCCCAGCAGTGATTTATTTTCAGGCTTCTTGCCATGTAAAAAGAAAAAGAAAAACCTACTTAAGCTATTTTAAGTAATTGCAGCTAAAAGAATTCTATGTTGATACACAGCCAAAGCAAAAAAAGGAATCACAACCAATTATAATATCTCTGATGCCCATAGAATCAAAATGTTCCAGTTGCTCTGAAAAAATTCAACTTGGGCCCTGAGGCCAAAGAAAAATTACTCCCCTAGGCCTGCATAAAGGAGACACTGCTTGCTGTGGTAAATAATACCTTCAGCAATATCCCTACTAGAGGTAAAAAAGAGGAACATTTGGTACAATCTCTTTATAGTGTCTCATTACAAAATACCAAATCATATACCGGGAAAAGTGATTCCAGGGAATAAGATATAGATTGCAGGGTATCTGAATTAATCTAAGAATTAAGTTTAAAATGTTTGGATGATTAACTGTTGCATAATATGAAAAGATGAAAATCAAGAAGTAAATACAAGAATTGGTTTGGTTTATTAGCATTGATGTGCTTATAATTTAGCTTGACAATTTTTTCTCTCTTCTGATACAAACACAAGCTTCTAATTTATTCATAATTACCCAGTATTTACCAAATAGAACTTAATAGCTCTATCTTCCTCAACTTTATCATTAGAGTACAAATCAATTTCAACTCATCTTGTTCCAGTTATATTTTATTTTTTTGCTCTGCATCTCTAGGTATATTCTCAAGCTGTGTACTTACCTATCCCTGCAATCTCTAAAAAAGTGTTCAAACACTGCTGCCTTTAAAGAAAAGTAATAATTGCCTTAGCTAACTGAGGTCAGAACTACTCAGGGAAAATCAAGGGAGAACAGCCATGAATGGAGAATGTTGGGCCACGTGAGGCAAGTGCTGGTGAAGGAAGATTGTCCCAAGTCCTCTGGGACTTTACTCCATCAATCATCTCTGCTCCTTCATCTTGAATCCTTCACCTTCCTCTTGTTTCTTCCTCCTGATTACAAACGTGTTTCTCTGTATCCTTCCCCAAAACAAATCCCTCCCTTGATCTTGCTTCTGCATTAAACTACTGTCTAATCTCTTCCCATTAAGAGAGAACTTCTAAAAATAAGAGGCTATGCTCAAAGATAACACCCTCCACTCCCTCTTCAGTTTATTTTCCAACACTGAAAATAGGATCTTTACCTAACAATCCATTTTGTTTTGTTTTGTTTAGAATGACTTCAATAAACTAATTATCCAAGTCAATTGCTTTTCTACATTTTTATGTTCCTCTTTATGCCATCTCACATGACTGATCACTCTGTGCTTTTGAAATTTTCTTCACCCTTGGTGTCAATAATGACACTCTATTCTTCTGTTCTTACTGTAACTTCTGTTCATTCCTGACAACTTTTAACAGTTTTCTTCTCAGAGAAATTTGCTGCTTCCCCATCTACTAGTATGTGTGTGAGCATGCTCAACCGCTCAGTCATGCCTGACTCTTATCAATCCCATGGATTGTAGCCTGCCGGATTCCTCTGTCTATGGTAAGAATACTGGAGTTGGTTGCCATTTCCTCCTCCAGGGTACCTTGCCAACCTGGGATCGAATTCACATTTCCTGCATTGCCGGCAGATTCTTCCACTAAGCCACCTGGAATCACACACACACACAGACACACACACACACACACACATTCATATACATGTGTGCACAAAGGCAGCTGTGGAAGAATGATGCCACATCCACTCTCATCCTCATCTGAAAATGACTAGTCACCAGCGTCATGCTAAGTTAGGGGAGTAAAGTGGGGTGATCAAAACTTGGAAAGTTAGCTCTCTTTGGAATATAGGCAATCTTAATACCCTAATTCTGTTCCTGGGCCCTTTCCCATCTCATTATGATGATATGTTGTTATTCAGTCTCTAAACTATGTCCCAGTCTGCAATCCCACAGACTACAGCATGTCAGGCTTCCTTATCCTTCATTATCTCCCAGAGGTTGGTCAAATTAACCTCCACTGAGTATGTGATGCTATCGAACCATCTCATCCTCTGCTGCCCTCTTCTCCTTTTGCCTTCAATCTTTCCCAGCATCAGGGTCATTTCCAATGAGCTGGCTCTTTGCATCAGGTAGCCAAAGGACTTAAGCTTCAGCATCAGTCCTTCCAATGAATATTCAGGGTTGGTTTCCTCTAGGATTGACTGGTTTAACTCCTTGCAGTTTAAGGGACTCTCAAGAGTCTTCTCCAGCACTACAATTTGAAAGCATTAATTCTTTGGTGCTCAACTTTCTTTATGGTCCACCTCTCACATCCATATATGACTACTGGAAAAACCATAGCTTTGACTATAAGGATTTTTTTTGATGATTACATTAATCATAATTTCTCTCTAAATGGCATTCACATTTATTCACACTCAGCCTCAATCTTTCAATTCCAATTCAGGTCAGTATATCTAATTGCCTGTTATTCTTATGACTAAACTGACAACCTCTCTAACACTTTATATTCAAAGCTAAGTCGCAACACCCAGAACTAAGCACAATGCATTGTTAAATAGCAAAACAAATATCTGTTTAATTGTTTATCTATATTTCAGAAAGTTTAAACAATTATATATTATTTCAATAAAACTAGATTTTAAAGCATATTGTGCATGAAAATTATGTCTAGTGACCAGTACAATTTTTAAAGCCATGAGGAGGTTTTACCATTGAGCTACCTTGAATGACAAAGGCTTAATGTATTCATGGCTCTTTGCATTATTTTGCGCATACATAATTTTTAGACCCTTTAACAGCAGGGGTAAGGGTTAGAGGTTGTTCCTCTCTGGTCAAAGTCTGTTTTGTAAATATTCTTTTTAGAAATATGACTTCTGGAATTGTCAGAATGAATTCAGGACTATTGTACAGCTATGTAAGTTTTGTAGACACAGCTAACCTAATAACCAATTCAGCTTGCTATGGGGCTGCTTGCTTCAATTTCAAGTAATAACTAGGGTAGCATGGACTTTCCCTGTGTGTGTGTATAATAAGTATGTAGATGAAAAGGAAAGTGATGTTGAACAAGGGTTGGGACTTGCCTCTTATAGGTAGGCTATCCCATGGTGCCATTCCATCAGCAAATATAACATTTAAAAATGGATCCACTATTTCATGAAAATAGATGTGGAAGTAGAAGTTGGTCTTTCTTTAAGCTCCATGGATGCTCCAGTATGATTCAATGATTAAACAACAGATGGACAAACACATAAACACGAAATAAGAAATACGTGCCAAATTCATGTTCCAGGATTTATTCATGAGCCTATGAAAACTTGAAGACTTATGTGTGGCTATGCATATTTATGAAGCTGAAAACAATGGTATATTATTATTTCCTAACCTGCAGGGCTCTTGATTTTATGTGTGCGTAAAATGACTATAATTTTGAGATGCAACATTTTTCACCTGCATCTGTCTTCTTACATGATAAGTGAGGGAGAAGGGCTCCAATGTCATATAGATTCATCTAGAATCATAAAGTTAAAATTGAATTCAAGACCTAGTCTGACTATTAGATATCGTCAATTCTTTGCTATTTGCTTTATTGAGGAGTATGATGACTTTGAAAGGTCTGTTAAGTTCCCACTAAAGGCAGCCAAGCCAGTATTAGCCATAGAAAGAGCTGAGTCCGATTATGCAGCAAAAATTGGGCCCTGTATTATTGTTACAGTTACTCAGTGAGGTGAGATAAAAGTGGAACTGATTTCTCATGCTGAATATAAAAAAAAAATAGCAAGAGTAATTAACATTTTTGAAGGTTCCTATGTGCCAGGCACAGTTAAAAGCACTTTGCATGTATATTAATTCATTTTAATATCATCATAACCCATCAGAATGGGTAATACTGTTAGTTTCCATTATACAGATAGTAAATATGTATGCAGGGGCAGTCTCGTTGCTTGTAAGAGTAGAGTCAGATTTCAAATTTAGGCAAAACATTTCCAGAGTCAACATTTAACTTTTCTGTTATGTTAGAAGTTTCTCAACTAAATCCAAGTCACATTTTAATTTAGTGGTAATGCTGTACATATTTACTTCTGCTGTTATTCACTCAATTATCCACAAAACTCTTGAAAACTCTAATAATGAGGCATTCACTATCTGAAAGTTGAAAGAACAAGATGCCAATATTTGGGGTTTACCACCAACTCATCTGCCTTATAAAACTTTTCAAGGAAAATACCTCAAAGTTTTGGGGAGCCAAACCCACCATCTCAAAGCATTGATATGAAACTTTGTAGAACGACTGGGTCACCCGAGCCACAGTTCATCCCTGGGATGGGTGCATGACTAGACTGAGTCAAATGACCCCTGCCTTGGGAATCTGGGAGAGAGGGCACCTCAGCTGTGACACGTTCAACATGAACACCTTTTGAAAGTAACATTCCCCTTTGTGGAGCAGCACAAGGTAAGAAAAAAGTACATTCATGGGGGAAAAAAAACAAGATAAAAGGCACACAATAAAGTTTTCCCACCAGAGGACCAATCCTGTGGCCCATTTTTAAGCCCAGTGGAATCATGCCTTTGGGTTCTATCACATTCTTTGGTTTCCATACACTTTGGGATATGTTTCTGGTATCTTTTCTCTTTTGGCTTTCAGTTCAGTTCAGTTTAGTCGCTCAGTCATGTCCGACTCTTTGCCGGCCCCATGAATCACAGCACGCCAGGCCTCCCTGTCCATCACCAACTCCCGGAGTTCATTCAAACTCACGTCCATCGAGTCGGTGATGCC